ATCTTTCTTCCTTCAATAAATTGGTTGTATTAATTATTCTCGTAAAATTAGTTTAAGAATTTAAGCTTCAATTATGCAATGATGGTTTTAATATATATTATGGACATGATGTGAGTTTTGAATAGGTTAGTTAATTTCCATTCAAGTTTTTTTTTTTTTAAAAAAAGAATTAAGCCTACAATTAGGCTCTAGTTCTTTTATTAGGATGATAATTAAGCATATCGAACTAACCTTCATGAGAAATCATAGAGATTCTTCCTTTTCGACATAAAAAATCCCTCACCTAAAAAGGTAAAAGTATAGCATAAAGCCCCGTTGCGGGTCCTCAATTCTATGTACCGAGTAAAATTTTGCTTATTTCTATATATCCAAGAACTTCCTCAAAGCCCAAGGAATGTAATCGAGTTCGCACGGTTTCATTAGAATTATCTTCTTAAAGTAGTAATACTTTTGCTTTCCATTTTATTGCAGCCTTACAGCCTTGCAATAAGCTTAGAGCCTTTGATTGATGCGATCCAATTTAGGAATAGAAGAAGAATTTGGAATTATTCAAGAAGAAGATGAGAATAGAAGAACAAAGAATAAAGAAAGGAAGAAATGCGGGAGAAGAAGAAATTGATTATATTTCACATACTAATTTACAAGGTTTTCTAACATTTTATATACAATAGAGGATAAATAACAAATAAGCCAATTAATGAAATTTGTACAAATGGATGTTCCTAATGGGTCCATGTGTAGAGTAAAAGAAAATATATTGACCAAGAATTTTACACGTAACAAAACCTTCCCCTTAAAGGATTACATTGTCCTCAAGGATCAATTAAAGGACCCCATGATCTAATACAATTTGAAGAGACCCATGCTCCAATACACAAGTTAGCATCCAATTACTTAACTTGAATCTAACTTTTATTGCGGGGATAATAATTGAATTATGTTTTACACTTCATGCAACACATTTCACATCCTCTCTTTCAAGAATGCTCTAACTAAAAATACTCTAAATGTGTCACTTAAGCCCAACATTTAGGTAAGAAGTGAAGTTCCAACAACTCGTTAGTAGATAGAGAGAAACAAATGCTTTGAAACTCCTTGCTTCCATAGCAACCTCAAAAGCTCACCTTAGAAGGTATTTCCTTCCAAGAGAGCAATCCAAGACCACCTAAAGCCTTTAAACTTTTTTGGGCAAGCATTTACCAAATACCTTCCTCCACCGGAGTCTAACTCTCTAGCCCATTTATGCTAGAAGCTTACTCAATCTTGTAACTTAGTTTGCTACAATTGAAGATAAGAGGGGTCATTTGTGGGTTCAATTTCTACCATATGCACACTAAGTTAAAAGCAAGACAAGTAATTATGAATGATTATCTCACTCCCATCATTCAACTTCTCCTTAATCTCTACTAGGTACATTATTTTTCAAATCTAAATCCATCTTCCAGCTTGCAATTCAATGCCAACATTTGCTTCAAAAGTGAGCTTATTTTTTAGTTACAATGTAATGTTGTTATTCCTACAAAACTCAAATGAATAAGTTGATGCTTCTTTCAAACCTTCTAGAGCCTAAGAAGACAACGATCTATCGAATTGCTCCAATAGGCAATTTGGCATAAGAAATTACATCCAACACAGACCATCCCCACCTACAAAACCATTTCCCACAACATCCTCATTCTCAAAATTGAAATTCAAAAATTTCATCCGGCTTAATACCATATATTGAACCCTAGAATCATCACAACAATGTTGATTCTTAATATCAATTAAATTTTCTTGTGTAGATTTATTAATGAAATTCATTAAAACCCACACAATTAATAGAATCAACCTTTGTAATATGGAAATCGGATTCAATCTAACATGATTCTTAGGTATATAAGGAAGATAAAACATCATTTCATTTAGATTCTCTAATCCTTATTTCTTATTGATTCATCAATGATAGCTTATCTTTTTCATTCGCAAAGCTTCATCTTGCAACAACTGATCCAAAAACTCAAGAATACCATTTTTTAACCGATTAAGCTTCTAATTGACTTCTTAAACATTATGTACGGATCTTAATTCAATTCTCGCTGTATCACTATAGTCCGACGGGTTGGTCTTTGAATTCATATGGAAACTCCAATTGATGATTTCACCTTCAATTCATTCATAAGTCTTCGAAAGTAGTAATTTGTTTCTACTTCTATTGTTTCTTTATTTTTCAAGACGAAGAGAATTTCTCTACCAACATCATCACTCATAAATGCTTTGGGTCTATGATGGCTTCTTACAATTGATTTCTTTGTGATGTTTACAATTACGCTAAAAAGTAAAGATCATGAACATAACTATCCTCATTTAACTTAGAAATGATGAAGTATCTAACTAGGATTTTTGCCATTGATACCAATGTTTGTAATTACTCTAATTGATACCAAAATTCAACCTTCCACGAGTGCTAAGAATTGCTTCGCTATCAATTAATACAATCCAATTTGGGAATAAAAGAAGAATTTAGAATTATTCAAGATGAAAAGATGAGAATAAAAGAATAAAGAATAAAGAGGAAAACACATAGGAGAAGGAGAAATTGATTATATTTCACACACTAATTTACTTGGTTTCCTAACATTTTATATACAAAAGAAGGTAAACAACTAATAAGCCAACCAATGATATTTGTACAAATGACAGTTCCTAATTGGTCCATGTGTATAATAAAGGAAATATATTGACCAGGAATTTTACATGTAACAATGCCATAATCGGTTGGCTCCCTCTTTCGAGGGTAGACGATAATCGAAGAATCAAATTAATAAGGAATATCCTTATTGAAAATATGAAAGTAATCTTATATAATAGTGATCGACAAAATAGGTTTGAAGGACATACAACTCTAATAGATTTAAAGGAGATCAACCCAATTCATAGAAGGCCACTAAATGGTATGACATAATAAAAAGCACAATCCACAACAACAAAATTTCTTTTCTCAAAAAGTAAAAGGAAAAGTAAAAGTATGATACAATTAGTTTATTTATGAAAACAAAAATCTTTAATTCCTTTTAACTTAAAGCAAAAATTATCCACCTTAGGAGAATATTTGGCACAACCAATTTGTTGAAGAAGGAAAGATTGCACAAAATTGGGTTTAAAGAGAGGGATTGGAAATTTTGAGAGGAGATTGAGGGCAATTTTGTTATTTTTATGATGTTCTTTTTTTCATTTTTTTCATATGAAAACTTAATATGACGAGTCATGTTATGTGAAATTTTTTATGCCATAAATCAGAATTTAATAGAAAAAATAGTTGGAAAACATTCAAAGGGCCATATTAAGAAAAAATTAAAGTAAATGGAGGTTATATATATATAGACACATGACATTAAGAGAATAAGAAAATAAAATAAAGGAACATTTCATGCGATTAATCCAACAAGATTAGGTGGTGAGGTTCAGTTGCCTAAGTTAGTTGGTGGTGTTGATGGGTTCTTTCAAGAAAATGAAGAATGGGTTTATTGCTGGATTACATATACATAGAGAAAAAAGAGAATAGTTTGTTTGTTTTTTTATTTCTAAAAAATATTTTTTTCTTTTCATTTTCTTTTTTGTTAATTTTTTTTCAATTTATTTTTGTCACATGATAATTTTATCCGGCATGACATTACACATGTTAATTTTTTTTTGTCACCCGTCATGTTTGCTAGGAAAATTAGTTGGAAATCATCGGAGGGGACGCATTAAGAAAACGCAAAGAGTCTATGGACTCGATAAATTAAAAAATATATATAAAGGCTATATTATGAAAATCTAAAGAATAGAAAGACAAATCTTGCAATTAATCCTAAAAAAAAAAAAGTTTAATCAAATAGGAAAGAATAGAATAAAAGTATATTTTATGGTCACTTTTGATTTTATTTGTTGCCTTATTAAGCTTAGATGTCTCATTTCCTTCTTGAATATTCATTTTATAGGACAAATGGTCAAACGGTATAAACCCCTTCAGCATTTTATTTGAAAATCGAGTTTTCAATTTCTAATTTTGAATCGAACCTCTTCTTAACTATTTTTTCATTTAAAATTAAATCATTCTATTAAATTTTTATCAATTTTAACTTGTAAGTATAATTTCACAGTATGTATAAACATGCCAAAATTTATATATACTTTGCTTTTCTTGTAAAAACTTGTTTCTTTTTTCCCGAAGTAGAAATACACATGATCTATATAGGGTTGTCTTATTAACTTTTTCAATAGCTAAAAATATGTCAAAACTAATGGATGTTGTGTTTTTTCCTTTAAAACTTGTTTTTCTCTCCTAAATGCTAAGAAATAAGCAATTAATGAATATTTAAAAAAGAAAAAAAATACATTTTAGAGAAAAAGAGAAAGCATCTATAAATTTTAATATAGTTTTAGTTATTTGAAAAGTTCAAAAGTCAACCACATACAAGAACTTTTATCGTTGAAATTAATGAAAACTTAATAGAAATATCTAATTTCAAATAAAAAATAATTGTGGAGAGATTTAGTCCAAAATTAGAAGTTAAAAGACTGGTTCTCAAATAACTTACGAGCTTTTAGGATAGCTTTTTAACATTTAGATTAGAAAAATTGACATCACACATCTTATATTCTTTTTCAATCCTCTTCTTAAACGGTTATTGCCTAGTCTATTCTTGAGTCCTTTGGTAAAAGAACTATCCTGTCATTGAGTTTTCTGTCCTATTTTTTGGCTCTTTTCTAGAGGAAATTTTTCTATTTTTATCTTTATTAGAAATTTCTTTTTTTTTTTTTTTTTCATAACTCCCTAATGGACTTTTTCATCTGTTTAGCTTATATATAATAGTCTTTTGATTTCAGCTTTCATTTGCTTAATTACCAATATCTTGATTACCTTCCTAAACTCTTCATCTTTTAGGATTTCTTTAAACCATTCTAATACTAATCTCCATTATCTATTATCCTTTTAGGATTTATTTAATTTCCATTATCTATAAAATTGTTTGTTGATGGCGCATGGGATAAAATTGCATTTGCCTGTATTCCTTTTACTAATATTTGTATTTTTGAAACAATATCAAGTTCATGGCGAATCAAAAGTTCCTTGTTATTTTATTTTTGGAGATTCATTGGTGGATAGTGGCAATAACAACAACCTTGAAACCAAAGCTAAAGTTAATTACCCACCATATGGGATTGACTTCCCAGGTGGTCCAACGGGAAGGTTTACCAATGGCAAAACCGTAGCTGATATAATGGGTATAACTTTTTTCTCCGTCTCTCTTGTTATTATATTCCGACTTCTAGATAGTTTTCTAGGAGCAAGGTCTAAAAATCATTCATGCTATGTCTCAGCAATAATCCTGTGGCTAAAATTTTTGTAAGTGTTGTGATGAGTCCTTACGCTAAGGCATAGGAAGCTAATTTCAAGGATTTGTCTATTTATCGTTGCTATATACAAGATTCATGTTTAAGTGATCAACAATTTCTCCTTTCAGGAGAACTTCTTGGTTTTGAAGATTTCATTCCATCCTTTCTAATCGCTAATGGCTCAGAAATACTCAAAGGTGTAAATTATGCATCTGGTTCAGCAGGAATCAGACATGAAAGCGGGAAGCAACTGGTAAATTAGTTAATGCAGTTTTTTTTGTTATTATTATTATGAAAAAAGAAATAATTGGTTATATTTATGCATTTTTTAAACCTTATGAGCTAGCAATTTCTGTTTTCAGGGTGTTAACATTGAATTAGACAAACAGTTGGAAAATCATCAAACTATCGTCTCACGCATTGTTGATATGTTAGGAAATGAGTCCGCAGCCAATCTCTTGAAGAAGTGTTTTTACTGGTCTGTAATTGGCAGCAACGATTATCTAAACAACTATTTCATGCCCCAATATTACAACACAAGCAGTCAATACACTCCAGATAAATTTGCAGAATCACTCGTTAAACAATATTCTCCACAAATTATGGTTAGTACTGCGTATAACAATAATATTATCTATCTACATTTTGTTTCACTAAATTTGAAAAAAAGTATATATTACGTTTATATATTATTTTGATCATGAAATATTTATTGTTCCCCTAGACTTTGTATAATTCTGGAGCAAGGAAAATGGCCTTGAGTGGAATTGGACCGCTCGGCTGCATACCGCATTCTACTTCTAACTATGATACTAAAGGCTCGCTGTGCGTCGACTCCATGAACGATGCAGTAAATTATTTTAACAGCCGACTCAGATCACTCGTAGATCAACTGAACAACGATTTAGCTGATGCAACATTTGTCTACCTAAACCCAGTTGATTTTGGGTCAGGGTATAAAGCTTCTCCAGGTAATGCTTGCTTAGATTCTTGATATATTCTTCTTGTCTGTCGACTTTCGAATGGCGGAATTGTTTCATTTTGGTTTATAGGTAATAACATATGTACTTATTTTTATTTGTGAGTTTCAGGTTTCAGTCTTAAACTCAGCGGCTGTTGCAAAGCAAACGAGTACGGTCAATGCATTCCTAACGAATCTCCATGTTATTTTAGGAGTTTTAACTTGTTTTGGGATTCATTTCATCCTACTGAAATTTCGAACAAACTTTCTGCACGATTATCATACCAAACTTTGAAGAAGATCTTGTAAATTTTTAGACTGTCACCGATATGTATCCAATACCAATTAAATTGAAGAAAAGAGCTTTATTTTCATTTGGAAGCATTATTCATAAAAATCTTAAATAATATGCCCTTCATTTTTCAAAAGAGGATATGAAGAGTTATTTGTTCAGGTTTCTGTTCGTCCCTTACTTAAAGAGGATATGAGCAGAACATATAAGATATTCTTGTTTGCTTTAGCACCTTAATTTTTATCTCCGGTTAAGATATGCTGTTTTTTTTTTTTTTCTTTTCTTTTTAACAATAATTGAGTCTGTTACTTCGATCGAGGGCTTGAAAATGGAACCCAATTATCTCATTTTTTTTACTATATAAAATAGTTTATTCTCTTCTTGAAACTATTCAATTTCGTGTCGTAGAAAATCAATTTTTCTTATTTGATATCTTGTCCGAGGTTTTTGCTCTCTTTAACACCCGATATCTTGTAGTATTTTTACTGATAAACACTTTAGTATTATTTCTTTATATGTCTATACAACTAACTGCATGAAATGGTCAAATTCACAACATCTTTCTATACTAAAGACCTACGTTGCAAGTTTATAGCTAATGACTTTTGCTTCTATTTGAATTCTAGTTTTTTATTGTCGGATTTGCTTTTAGCTGCTAATCTCCTAACTCCACTTGTTTTTATCATTTTTCAATATTTAAATAATGTTTTAAAATATTAAATTTTCAATCATAGTTTTTACTATATAAAAGGGAACTCGTAGAACTAAAAATACATGAACCTATTGAAAAAAAAAAAACCTACTAGGACCTAATCAAACATCGAAGCGAGACGACAGGACCAATTCAAGGTTAACCTAAATGACTTGTCATCCAGGTACTCCCAAGATTTAGCATTGACTAGAAGGCATCTTTACAACGGTAATTACGAGATATATATATATATTCCATCGATATTTATTTTATTTTATTTTACTAATTTAAAGAAAAGCTTGATTATATATAAAAGCATTGACTAGAGGGCATCTTTACAAGGGTAATCTATATCACTTATTCATCAATATATTTTTTATAACAAATCATACAATAATGAAAAAAAAAAAAAGGATATGTTTAAGTACCAATGGAAGCAACACATTCTGATTGATTTTCTTATTGATAATCAAAATGAAATGGGATGGAATGAAACAAATGATTTTTCCTAATGAATCTTTTTAATACTAAACATGCGTTTTGCTGGTCTATTCGATGCATTCATTATCTTTCTAGAACTTATTTGAGCATTTTATAAAATTTTGATCAAAAGTAAAACTAAACTTTTATGGTTAATTAATAAATTCTTAATTCGAAGTGAAAAGTGAGATCATAAAAAAAATAAAAATAAAAGATGAAAAGTGTAGAATTTTCAAAATAGAAAAGGTAAAGCATAATGACACCTAAAATAGGGATGATAAAAATAATTACTATACATATAATATAAGAACAATTACAACAAGGCATCAATATTAGAAACAACACATGGTTGATAGACATTATTGATCTTTCCGATTCGAAGAATTAGATTACTTGAAGAACAAAAACTCGTGAAAATTGGCAAACACAAATCACAATATCCTTCTCTCTGCTTGTAATAAATATTAGCATCAGGGCATCATTTTTTGGTTCATCGGAGGCACCATACCAACCTGAGCCTGCTGCATACTCTGCCTTGCTACATTTCCCTGCCATCCTACAACAACAGAAAATCATAGGTTAACCAATGCTTCGTCATTGTCTTCTCTGTATTTGATTCAGAAGAAATTTTAATGTGATGGGCAGGAAAACAACTTTAAAGAAATCATATTGAATATAGAATTAATGCGAAGGCATAAAAGTCGAGGACAAAAATATGGCCATTAAGAGCATCTTCGAGCTCTCTACTTTTAACTAATATTTTTAATATAAATAGAAAGCACTATTAATTATATAGATTGAAGATCAATATTCTCTCCAATGCTACTCTCTACTTTAACTCTTTGTTTTGACAAAATTCATAAAACATTTAATTCTGAAATTTTCCCTCATGTTTTTTTTTTTTTTTTTTTTGTTAATTCCCTAGAGAGATTGTTGGTGAAGAGGTTGAGTGGCATAGGAAATAATAATTTTCACTAATAAAATATAAAATAAAGAGTCATTTGAACTCCGTAGTATTTGAGAGCTAAAGAAATTATGTATCTCACTTTTGAAGATAAAGATTGTGATAAAGAAAGTATTGGAGATAGAATTTGGGTTAAACTTTTTTATTATAAAGAAAAATCTTAATATAAAGAAAGTATTAAAAATGCTCTAACGCATTAATTATACATACATAATCGCTAAAGAAAAATGAGAAGAATAGAATAAAATTTTTACCAATGGAAGGATCCAGGCCTCTGTTATTAAGCTCTCTATATTCTTGACAAAGAGCACAACATTCAAAAAGGCAGTGAGTGAGGCTGTCTGGTGCTGGGTCCTCCATGAGTCCATACTTGGCTCTAAGCTTGGAGCGGTTACCGCAAGATACTAGGCACGGCATGCCAATGCAGAACCCCACCATACCATAGATCATTCCATTTGTTGCACATGCTACAAATATTAACGTTGCAGGCTCAGTTTATCAATTTTCATAACCAATTGGATTTAGAAGAATAATTATTAAATCAGAGGATTTCTTTTATTTCTTACTTGTCTGGCCATTGTCAACAATTTCTGCGATCTGACCGTATGTCACGCAAGGAAACAAAGCTGTTTGGAGAGCTGAAGTATAGCATAACAAACAAATACAAGATCAGTATCCTTCTTTTCTTTCTCAAGTAACACACAACCAAGAAAATTGACGAGAGGATAAATGAAGGAAAGGGCAATGGTGCGTGCTGGAATATTATTAATTTTGTTACCATTTGTTGGATCCTCCATGCAGTCAAATATCCCAGTTGTCCAAGTCCCCTGTTGTTGATTCATTTGCATTGGAATTCCATTAACAGGACTTTTGGGAGGGAATTGTACTACCTGAGGCTCAGACTGAGCAGCCTGGTAAGGATTTTGAAAGCCTTGTGGTGTAGCATTTGGAGGAAAGGCCTGGGGCATTTGTTGTGGGAAATTTGCAGGCTGATTTGACCCATTTTGATACGTTGGGTTACTTTGTTGGCTTTGTGGTGGGAACTGAGCAGGCTGATTTGGAAATATTTGTGGACCTTGCGGTGGGTATGCTGCTGCCTTCATCGGGCTCGGAGGTGGAAACTGGACGGGCTGAGTTTGAAATGTTTGTTGTCCCTGTGGTGGGTATGGCGCCGGCTGAGTTGGATTTGTTTGTGGACCTTGCGGTGGATATGGTGCAGGTCCATTAGAGTACATCGGATTGGCTTGTGGGAACTGTGAAGGATGGGCTGGTTGGCCCCCATAACCCTGGTTAGCTTGTGGTGGGGGGTACTGCTGCTGCTGAGGTGGTGGTGGTGGTTGTTGCTGCGGTTGCTGCTGTTGTTGTGGGTTATTTGCGGATGTGTCCACGTACTGGGATTGGTATTGGTCTTGTTGGGTTGAATCATGATAGTTAGTTTCATAGGTAGGTGAGGAGAAATCATCTTGAGTTTGTGTGCCTTGTAATGTATGTTCATATTGGTATTCTTGAGGTTGATCAGTTTCATATGGGGAAGAATCTGCTTCAGGACGTCCCATTTGCTCTGCGCTCTTTACTTACCAAAAAAGAAAGGGAGAGGCAGGGGAGAGGGAGAGGGGGTTTGGATATGGTTAGCAATTAAGGAGAGAGCTTTATAAAGGAAGGTGTAATGCTACGTAATTAACCAAGTCTTTGCACACAAAAAAGCAAGTTGGAAAAAGAAAACTAGGTATAGAAGCATTGCCAACCAAGACAGCTTGTACGTACAATCATAATAGAGAGAGTGGTGAGGGAGAGGTGCAAAGAATTAGTTGACTTTGGTGGTAACGACTAATACGAGAGCACAAAAGGGAAGACTTGAGTGTAGTGACAAAAAATGTGGAATTTTTTAGAGCGTTTACTTTGACTAATTAGACAAATTGAAGAGGCTGGTTCTTGGAAACGCGGTTGTTTGTTAGGTTCAGATGGAGAAACTTGGCCAAGCTAATCATAGCCTCGATCAATCGGCGGAGACTGCAGAGTCTTTAATTTCCATGCCAAACTCTACAATCCTCTGGGAATATTTGGAAGGCATTAACACTTTCACATTCAGTTTTTCTGAAAAGGTTTTATAGTTTCTGAAAAAAGATCGATTTGACATATATATATATATATATATATTCTGTAAAGACAGTAAAAGGATTCACTATCATTTTCCAACCAAAGTTCTGCAACAATGCCTGTAACTTTATGCACACATTTCGTTTAATCGGCTGGAGTCTTAAGACAATTGGGAATACAACTTATAGTATCCTTCGTATGGCATGGAGGCATGAACTTTCTTCGCAATTCATCTGTGGCTCCTGTCGTTGACTATTTATAATCACTTCTCTAGATCAAACTTTTGAAATTAAATGCCACTTAAAAACAGCTAGTAGTAGGCATCATGGATTCAAATTACGGTACCAATTGTATTTGTATTTGCGTTGTAAATACAGTACAGCAGAGCTGTCATAGATACTTAACAACTTAAAGATCATAATATAAATTAATTAATACCTACAAATATTTATTAATTACATGGTATATGTATAATATACCAATCTCAGTTTTTATATAAATCAGGTAATATAAACTATTGATTGTGAAATTAAAAAAGATAAATGTTTTAAAAAAAATAAAAATATTTGCATTTACCATCAGCTGAGATAAAACTTAAAATATATGTCAAGTCCACAGTACAATCAGAGCAACGCTTCAAATGAAATCCAACCCCACTTCAAGGTTTTTTGCCATTTGCTTGAACTAAACCTTTTTTTCACCTACAAAATCAATGGTGACGGCCATTCAGAATCATATCTCCAATTCATCATCGACATTTGATTATGGTTAATATCTGCTTTCATAACTTCGGCTTTCTCTGCCCTTAGCAGACACCTATGAGAAGCTTGGTGGTTGACTGCTGATTTAAAAAGATAAGGCATTTTTAGGGGATATTTTTCTTTGAATATCCCACTCACGTCTTCTTCTTCTTCTTTTTTTAACCACTATTCCAGGCACGTCTTGGTTTACAAAATAGCAGTGTTCGGTTTGGAATAATGAATTTTCGAAACATTTTCTTTTTAAACTTGGTTTTCTTATATAGGTTTAATTTTATACTACATGTATGCTCTATACAACCCTCAAAAATTTTAAGATGCGAACAGAAACATATATAGGTTTTTTATACCGGATCTTGTCAGCCTATTCGTATATTCTAATCTTATACCAATAAATAAATAAAATAAAAACATTCTAATGAAAGTGGTTTACAGAAACTTGTAACTCTTAGCTCGTTAGGACTTTATATGGTATCCTTGACTAATGACCACTGCATCCATACAAATAAATATTTGGTAGTATTTTAATATTTAATTATTTAATTTTTGAAAATATATTAAGAATGCTTCCATTTAAAAGCATATTAGCTTCTACTTAAAAGATAATAGGAAGTGATTTTTTTTCCTTTAAAATGGAAGGATGTTTATTTCATTTAAAATGAAAAAATAATGTAAAAAAATCTTAATAAATAAAAAATCAATAATGCATATATATGATATTAATTAAATTATATAGTATTTATATTTACTTTTAACAAAATACCTGCATATGCTTTCATTCCTGGTTTTTTTTCTTTTACTTATATGACGTAATAAATTTTGTTTTATCAATGAAAGATTTCATGTTTTCAATTAATTATTATTTGCTAAGAAAAAAACTAGATGCTTACTACAGCATCGTTGCATTACAATGACAATGCCACTTTAAATATTATTTTAAAATGTTGTTTTCTCATGAGACAAATTATAAGTTTTAAAATTTGAAAGGTACTATTAGAATATTAGAGGGGTCTTCAATTAATTTTCTAATTATAACGGCTAGTTTTGCATTAGTTACAATTTCAATTTTGAGTTTGTTATTTGAATTTGTTAGTAACAAAACTCAACTTTACTTCTTTTTCCCGATATAAAAGAAAGAAGAAGTCCCTTTGTAATGATGAGTTGTAACAGATTTTTCAATAAAAAGAGAAGAAGTAGCCTCGTTTCTCTCACTATTGCATTTTCAACATTATGCAATGGTTTTTTCGAAGCAGTTCAAAATCTGTTGCATATTAGAATCATATGCAACGGTTTTGCAACGGTTCGAAACTATTACGATCAAAAAATTTTTCTCTTCCTAGTATAAATAAATCGTTGCATATGATTTTAATATGACCGATTACATAAAAGGGTTTGATGCAACGGTTCTTAACCATTGCAATTAAAATTGCTAGTAATATGCAACGGTTTTAATAAACCGCTACAAATAAGTATTTTATGCAATGGTTCTTAACCTTCTAAAAAACTTAATTTTATCTCACTCTCCCGCGAAACACATCCGACCTCTCTCTCTCTCTCTCTCTCTCTCTCTCTCGCTCTCTCCCTTTCTCTCGTCTCTATCTCTGTCTTAATCTCTCGTCAGATTCAAATCACTTTATCAAGGTATCGGTTAAATGGTAGTTTAGATTGAAGTCTTAGCAACTTAAAAACGAGGTGTAAGAATTTCGTAGTTTTCTATTGAAGGATTGGGCAATATTAGGTCGAAGTTGTAACTTTTTTAGGGTATGCAATTTTCGTTCAATTTATCTCCCTAGGTCTTGATATTGTATGTAATTTTATTTTAATCCATCTATTTGGATTGGGTATTGGATTTCTCTCCTTAGTTATTTACTTTTGCTGCTTTAGGACTTGATTTGATAGGCTTTCGCATATTTTCCTGATTTTCTCTTCTAGGTCCGCTTAATTTGTGTTGTTTGTTAATGGGGTTATTTCTTTTCTTTCTAATTTTATGGGTATAGAAATCGGCATTCGGATTTGGCGGAACCATTTGAGGATTGAAGGCTAAATTTCTATAAGTTTTGTAATGTGAAACAAAATATTATTTCGGTTGATTCATTGTTCTATGATTTGATGATTTTTTAAACTTTGTATTGTCTCTTTGATTTGATGATTTTTTGCCCATGTTTGCCTCTCGTATTGCTTCATTTTTTCTAGTAAATTTATCACTATCAGCTCTGTCATTATGAGCGGTAGTGATGGCAAGTGAAATTTTATCTTATGGTATGTACCCGGGAATGACTATACAATATGAATTTCAACATTATGCTTGTAACCCCTCTTAACCAAGTTTACCAAAATTTGACCTAATTCATCGATTGAATTTATTTCAAATTTTAACTAACTTCGATCGTCGTCTTTTATCACGTTGTGCTTGTAACCCCTTGTAACGATAATGTGTGTTGACTTGCGGTAGTCATGCATGCTACTGCATGCTAGCAGCAAGCATGCGTGCTTGGCTCGTAGCAGATCATTGCGTGCCGGCTCACAGCGATCATACGTTCGGGTCTTAGTAGTCATTGCATGCCGGCACGCAGTAGTCATGTGTCTTGGCTCGCGATAGAATAAAATTTTGTTAAGATCAATTCAAAGCATTTTCGTGTGGTTAGGTTTGATGGCACTTAGGGTTCATGTGGTTTTGATTTTTGTTATATTGAATTGTGTTGTTCAAAAATCATTAGCATTTTTCAATGATGAAGAAAGGAAAAAAATAGACTTTTAAGAAGAAGAAAGAGAGATAGCGATTATGTCCATCCGGATCAATGTCATCATATTTGAGGATGCAACAACCGATAAATAGAGAGAATCAACAACCATAAGTAGAGTAAGAACAAGAGATTCAAAAAGAGGTAGAGCTTCAAGAACAAGAGCAGCAAGCTGTACATGAAGAAAATGAATTCCGAAGTGCAAATCCAAAGAAATGCACAATTGGTAGACTTCGAAACTCCACCAAATATAGAAGAAATGAATGAAACTACACAAGAAGCAAGTATACTTATGATTTCAAGTTATAATATTATGAATATCAATACAACTTGCATTACAAATTTTGTTATTTTTGGTATAGGATCTTTAAGTAAAAGAAAAGGAGGGTCAACAATAATGAAAGAAGTACATACATAGGTTATTGAAGATAGAAAGCCTATTTTTCTAAATGAAGCAAACCAACCAATAGGCCCCGATGATAAGACTTTGAGTTTAGTAGCTTTTTGGGAACATTAGCCCGAAATGGAAGTCTCGCACCATTGAATCACATTAATTGGCACAAGATGCCTACTACGGAAGCATTATACGAATATGTTCAAGTAATTCAACTTTATCTCTTTCTATTTCTCTCTTTGTATTGCCATAAGTTTTTGCCTAATACATGTAAATTTATTTGATATTACATGTTAATCCATCCTTATTTTTCAATGCCAATGCCAACCTTATATTTTAATGTAAAAACAATACATAGTTCTTTTCGAAGGTAAGAAATGGGTTTTGGCTACAATAGGAGATAATTGGAGAGGTTATACAAATGTCGATTGAAGAAGGATCACTACTACAAGTACAAAATCGACAAACTTAGAATGCTAAATCGTCTAAAACACATTCCGGATGATAAGTTTAGAAAATTGTTGAAGTATTGGAATTTAGATAATGCCAAGGTATAAGAGTTTTTA